CTATCTCTGCCTACCCTCTCCGTTATGAGGCAAGTACTGTGAGCTCAGCAATTGTCTAGTTTAGTCACTGTTTTCCTAGTGTTTAAAAACAGGGCCTGACCAGGCACCGTGCTAGCCTGGAGGTACAGAGAAGCCTAGCATATTATCTGAACTCTGAGCAGCTCCATGTATAACAATGTCCTATGCTTACGTCATACATACGCAAGCTTGTACCACAAGCTCCTGGGTCCAACCGTGGATGCTGTGGACAGGTAGGCTGTACTATTCATATCCAAGATGACATGAACGGCAATTTTTGGGATGTACAGTGTTCAGCCTTTGCAATAGCACCCAGCTTCCCTATGCCTAAATCTGTATAGCACAAAGCTAACCACTGCTTAAAACCCACTGGTGGCTCCCTGCTGTCTGCAGAAGTCCATCCTCCGGCTGAAGTCCACCTCCCTCTCCAAACAGCTTCTCCTCACTCACTGTAGCAGCAGGCATTATGAACTTCTGCGCCTGCTCCTCATGCCGATGCTCTCCTCTGTTCCCACTGGACTGTTCTAGAGCTGCACCTTAGGCTGTTATCCCAGCGGACTTCCAATCATCCCACATACTTTGAGAATGAGCCCCCTGTGGACAGGAACTGTGGGCCCTTCATTCTGTGTCTCCAGCATGTAATATAGGCTTCAATGAATGAGTGACTTAACAAAGACATGACCTAATTTGGTAACTCATCTAATGATTCGGGTATTAAATGACTACTTTTAATCATAACACCATCTTACAAAGGGTCCAACCAGCACAGGTAAGGGAGACTGAGTGGGTGTATCATCTCTGTTTGATCTTAAATACCCAGGGACTGAATTAATGAAGTCACCACTGTTTTTAATTTTTTCAGGTACATTAGACTGTTGGGTTGATGACAGCCAAGCACACACTTTAGATTTTATCTGAAATCATTCACAGTAAATCAGGGCTTTCTCTGACCTCCTTTAAAAAATAAGACCTTGGCCAGTGTGAATGCCCTTCCTGATTCCTATTACAGCAGGGACAGTGTTTAGTCACTATTAGAGACTTACACGTCACAGACAAAAGGTATTTCTATGAAGGACGTGATGGGGTTCTGAAAATGTCCCAACCCCACTAGGATTATTAAAGGAAAATATAACCTCTTAATGTGCCAACAGCGTGGGAAGCATTTTAGAGGAGCCCGTTACATATTTTAGAGAACAGATACATGAAACCCTCCGACTTTTCCTCAGAGCACAATCAGCTCAGTCTTATCAGTAAAAAAAGAGACATAACCCAAACATGCTCAAATCTATCAGCCAAGGCATGAAAACAAGATCACAGCATCCTTTCAACCCTCAGACAACATTTTCTTTTACAGCTAGGCAGAAAGCAATTCTAAAAAGAATGTTCATTTGGGGGCCTGGAAGTGTCACAATAAAGGTTACATTAAATCACACTTGAAATCACATTTTCCCAGCAATATTTCAAAAAGCCATGAAAACAGTAAGTAGTATACAAGCTTACCTAATGAGCACTCATATTTTACATTATATTAATGTTTGTATTAATGTATTATATTAATTTCTTCATATTTCAATTTATAGAAGCTAATTTTTTTTTTTTTTTTTTTTGGTGGCAGCGATGTTGGGGATTGACCCCAGGGCCTCTGCACTGAGCTATATCCCCAGACCTTTTTTGATTTGTAATTTTGAGGCCGTCTTGCTAAGTCACTAAGCTATTCAGGCTGGACTGGAACTTACAATCTTTTTGCCTCCGCCTCCAAAGAGTCCTGGGATTACAGGCACCTACCACCATAACCTACTGCTAACTCCTTCTCTAAAAAAACATTTCTGAGAATGTATCTAACAGAATTTTTTCTCCTTTGCCAGATTATTTTTGAAGTAAAAATCAGTTTAAATATTAGGAAGTCTATAATTATGTCACACAAGTATATGTTTACTGAGGTTCAAGGCTCAAAAACACACTCATTTTAGATAGCTATGGTACAGAGATTTTTACAGCCATAACACAAGATCAGGGCATTGTTAATACCCTTTCACGAAGGACTGCAGGTCGGCAAACTTGAGTTTGAGTATGAACTCTGCTAGTTACTTGCTGTACAACCTCCAAAGGGCAGAATAAAGCTCTCTGCATTCCTGTTTCTTTATCTGCAGGATGGAAACAGTGCCATAGGGAAAATTAAACGAAGACTATGAGTTCTCATAGGACCTGCCAGAAGTATGCTTTCAGTAACAGTTTCTGTTTTCTCTTCTCATCTCTAGTACCTTCTCTACTATGCTTCAGAGGCATTAACACAATCATCAAAAGGAAATTAAGGGAAACAAAAGGAGTGTTAACTATTTAGCAGCTTCAGAATAAGAAACACACACAAAGAAGCAAGACTTCTGACTTGCTTTGATCATGAAGCACAATTTTTAAAATTAAGAATCATGATGCTTGAACTACCTCCAAGGGAAGTTACTGTGTCTAATTTGCTACCACATTGGTTCTTCCAAACAGTATTTAAATGATAAAAGCACTGATGGTAAAAGTACTCATTTTCAAAAACTCACAAGTTGTTTGTCTTCAAGATGAGGAACATGTCACATAAGCCATATGATAAAAATAGGAGATGAAGACATTTACATGTTTCGATTAGCTTAAGTGTAACTGACCAAAAAAAGCCATTTATAAAGAATATTGTTTTAACAGGTGCAGTTATCAGTAACATTACTCACAATGGAAATTAGTAATGCTACTAATTTAGGTTGTATTTGTTCCCTTCTGAGAATTATAATCAAGATCAGAGATAGCAGGCCAGGCAGCTATGGAATGAGTGACTCAGACATTTATATTCACCGATTGTGAAAGGACTTGTCCTGGGAAATGGGAACATCTTAGATTTCCATTCTCTGCCCTCCACATGGCCTTTCTCCACTTCACTCTGGCTGACATTACTCTATCTCTAGCTCTGTCTTTATTCTTTTATCTTGATTCTGGTAAGACAGAAGTTCCTCGGCGGGGGAGGGGGGGAGGGAAGGGGAGCTTCTTTCAGTTATCATTCCCTTATACTTCAGTTTAGTAGAACTTGATTATTCCATGTGCATTAAAAAATAAGGATTATGCATGCTTGGAATTAAGAGAAAGTAAAAGCAGGATAGAGCAGCTAGAGGTTTTGGGTAATAAAACTAAACTCTACCTATTTAAAAAATATTATTATTATTTTTGTCTAGGATTTGAGTCAATTATAATAATTTGCTCCAGTCATGTGCCTTTACCCCCATTTCTCTAGACAGTTATTTCCTAATTATGTCTGTCAAGTTGTGAAGAGTAATGACCCTATTTTAACATCAAGGGAAAAAAATGAGACCAAAACAAAGCAGATGTTCTATGAACTGCTAGAAGTTGGCCTTGTCAGAATCACTGAATACATGACTTCTGACATGAACAGTATCTATAAAATTGAAATAAGAGGAGAGCCCATCTGTGAGTATCTTTTTAGCTGCTTCTTCCAGCGAATCTGAATTCACTGATGCCAAACTGATGCATAAGAATCAAGTTAACCAATGAAAATGGTGGAAACGATCAGTTCAAGCACACAGATTTCGTGTATTTGTGCAGGTGGTACAATTCAGGGCCCTCCCTACGTGAGTCTAGAAATTGAGGTGGCCTCACGTTACTGTTCCAGTCACCACGCAATGTTCGTTAAAGACACAGATACATCTGAGTATCTGGGGAGAAAGTACATTTTGGCTAACAGCCTTTACATTTCAAATCAAGACATTTTTTAACAGCCCAAATTTTAGTAGAAGTTCATTTAAAAAAACAGAAAAATGTACAATACTACACATTTAGGGGAAAATCTCTAGCACATGAAGGTTTATGCTATATACACGTATGTCATTTAAACAAAATACCAAAATAAAAATTTAAACTATAATGTTTGTGCATGAGGTAACACTAATCCAGCCGGGGAAGGGCAGAAGAGTTTCAACTGAAATACTTAACTTGTGGTCTAGCATTTCATTTTTCCGCCACCAGCAGAGTGTCAGGGATGATAAGGAAAAGCTAAGAAAGCAGAATATTTAGGAAGAATGACGCTAAGGACGGGTCACACTGCCTTATTCTAAGCCACCTCTGGAGTGGGTCTCTGAGGAGCTAATATATCTCATGGTGACTAAGATAAGTAATAACTTTCTGTATTCTTGAAATCTGTTAAGAAGTAGATCTTAAATATTTCAGCAAAAACCACAACAAAAGATCATTATGTGAAGTGATGCACATATTAATTAACTTGATCATGGTAATCATTTCACAGTATGTATATGTATCAAATCAGCACGTTGTACACATGAATGTATACAATTTGTGAATTATACCTCAATAAAGCTGAAAAAATATTCTGCCAAAAGACAGACATGAACTAACACATGTGCAATTCTAGACAGAGAGGTGACAATGATAGAACAGTAGCTATTTTCCACGAATAAGGGTTGAAACCTAGACCTATGTGGTGGGTGAAAGGAAAAGAGAAAAAAATTTTCTTTAGAAATAACATATGATTCCTGTATTTCAAAGGACTAACATATTCCAAATTTAAACCTTCCAAAATGCGATTTTGCAATTTCCTTTCAAAATAAGATGATACTTGCTGTATTTTATTTCTGTTGATTTTGTATATGAAAAATAATGATGATAATAGGAGAATGATATTAAAAAAGGACAATTTTTTTTTTTCCATCAGCGTTCAGTAAGGTGCAGAAGATAGCAGGAAAGACGCAAGGAGGTCTTACATCTAGTCAGGACACAGGCTTCCATCTCTTTTAAGACACTGCATTCTTCACCCTAATCTGCTCCCGAAGAGCACAGGCTGAACGGAAAGATGCAGCCATGTGTGCCATTTACGAGCTAGAATGACACGTTTGGGGAACTGGAGATGTGGCAGTTCCCATTATCCACTGGTCACCGTGGCAATTCTTATTTCATCCTGAGAATGTGATACTTACTCTTGTACTGCTCTGGCTATGGAAAGGGCCGTAGATCCAGTTTCATTAACGCTATCTAAGGTCACATTTGGCAGGTCATCATCATCACTGTCACTTTTACTTTGTCTGGGAGATAGGCCTCGGGGGTCCATTTGTGCTAGGAAAAAAAGGCATATATAATGAATTAAAATTAGTGTGCAGAAGTTAACCTTGTCCTGGACCAACATCAAGCACGGAGTATCTCTTCTGTGCATATCACACAAATGGAATTCTCTAGACATTACAGGAACTAGTGGCAGCTAGGTATTTATGTACTGAGTACGCACGGACTCTTTCTCCCTTGTTCATTTGACTCACAAAGCCTATATCTGCCTCCAAGAGTTTCAGGAATGACTATAGGAGAGAAAGTATAATACCTACAATATTACAAATTCCTAGGGGCTTGAAAGTTGATTTAGTAGCTCATTAGTTAACGTCCCACCCTCTGGTTTCTCCTCCTCCTCGTTTTTGCTGCCAGGATTCTGGCTGATGCACACTGCTTATGAGCATTTCCTCTGGAAGGTAGAGAGCATGAGGCAGAGGAGGTATTACTTGCTGAACATTCTTGTAATAAGTTTGAAAAAGAAGAAGGTTGAAATGACCAAAATGAGCTGTAGTTATCTTTCATACTTCAGTGAACTGTCATTTAGCGGCTCATCACTGCTGCAAGTGCAGATCGGAGTGCATACAACGGCAGAGGTGCTTATGTTCATATGTTTTATATCTAAAACGTGCTCTTGACCTCCATTTGTATTTCATTTGCCAAAAAGGCGCTTTCAGATATGGTTCTCCTCCAACCATGAACTTGCCAAAGCAAGAAACTGAAGCCCTGACCCCGCTGACCAGAACCATGAAATCCTCCAGGAAGAGCTTTACTGTCAACAAGCAATATGTTAAAATATATTTTTAAATTAGATTTGATTTCTACCACGTTTTCTCTCTGAACACCTTTACAAAGCACTGCCTACAGTTTCTCTTGGCTCTCTCACCCCGAGCATGAAATAAGCATCCCTCCTCAATTAGAAGTTCTGCCTTGGCTACAAAATTGTTATTAAAATACATGATTTTCATTCACACAGATTTAGCCCAGATTGATGTTGCTTAAAGGTGTCTACATAAGATCTCTAAAACCACTACTGCTTGCAAAAGAAAGCAAAATATAGCATAAATAATGGTTACAATGACATTTGGGTACAAACATATTTAAAATCATGGTCAGAACAACATTTAGATTTTGGAAAAAAGGTACCTTTCTTTTTTCCTCCAATCATTTGCTACTGTAAATTATACCTTAGATAGAATCACATGGAAATGCTGATAGTTCACCATTTTTTAACCTACAAAAAGGCAATGCCTTATGATTACACACAATATTTACAATACCCTAAAAAATAAAAACCCTATACCTAGAGAGTTTTCTGTTTTGTTTTGTTTTGTTTTGTTTGTTTTTTTTTTCTGGTACCTGGAATCAAACTCACGATGTTGCGCTTGCCAGGCAGGCGCTGTGCCACTGAGCTAAATCCCCAGCTCCCTACCTAGAGAGTTTAAACATATTTCTAACTGAAGTTGGTTAGGAACCGGTATCTGTTGGACTTGGTACTATATGTACTAGTATATCTGACATACATTTTACCTGTAAGTAACTATAAATTAAAATGTGTTTTTCACAATGGAAGTACTTGGTAAATGTTGGTTGAATTAAAATAATTCAAACAATATAAAGTGGTAGTCTTCAAATGAGGGCAAATCTGCCCTCTAGGAGATTCTGGCACTATCTGAAGACATCTACTTTGTCGTAACTTGCTGGGAGAGCGAAGGAAGCTGATGGCATCTAGTGGCAAGAGATCAAGATATTGTCAAATATTGTACAACATACCTACCAGCAATTGCATAACTAGGCCCTGGTTTCAAAGTCACTAACAAAGAAATGAAGTCATACATTGGATCATCCATATTTTCTGGCCATGTCCCAAATAAAATAATGCGCTTGTCAGGTGACTCTGTATTCATGATTTCTTCAAATACGGCATCCACTTCCTCAGACGCCAAGAATTATGAAGTAACAGTCATTAGAAGCTTTTGAATGTTTGCTCTGTAGCACACACTGTGGGACAAAGACTGTTTATTTCCCATCTGAGCTCTAGAGAAGATGCCCCAGAAAGGAGTTGTTAGATAAACTGCAGGGCTGCAGTTCTGCGACCAACTGAGATCACAGCTTCGCTATGCAGCCACTCGAATGGCATTGAAGGAACCGTATCACTTAAGGTTTATTTTGGCTACAGGTAACAGAAAATAGCTCAAACACAAAAGGAATACACAGTCATACATCGTGTAGAGCAATGTGGGTAGAGAAATGTGTTGTTCTGTGATCATTATAGAGCGTGCTTACACAAACGAAGATGGCTAGGAAGGCAGTAGGTAGTATCGTCTTACACAACCACTGTTGTATATGTGGTCTGTTGTTATCTGAAACATCATCTGTACAGGAAAGATATGGAGTAACTTGAAGAACGGATGGTAAAGAATAATCATTACAGGACTCGGGAGGGATACAGAATCTTTTCAGCCAGGAATTCATAGTTCTTTTTGAGCAATCTTGTTCTAGAATGATTCATTTAACAGCCGTTCATAATTATTCAAAGCCAGCCAAGAAAATGAACACCAGATCTATCTAGGCTTCCAAATCCCATACTGTGTGGTGTTACATATGTCTGGAAATGTCAACAATGTAACATTTAAGTTGGTGAAACACTGTACACTAAGACATATTTGCCAAGATATCAAAGCAACAAATAGCCAAAAAGAGAGAATATTCTGGTGGTGCCATTTTGCCCAAGACAACTGAAATTCTTATGGGTAAGTGATTTCACTCAAGGAAAAAACAGGCAGTTAACCAAGAAGCAATCTGTCTCTGAAAGTTCAAGTCTAACTGTTCAAAATATTCTAAATAACTTGTGTAGGAGTTGTTGTAGCGTGATTATCTAAATTATGTTATGTTTATATCTTAATGAACGTATAAAATATGTTAAATAAGATATCCTTTTTGATGTACTTTTCAGGATCATCATAACTGAGGATTTCTTTCCAATATTTTCAATAAATATTATGAAATACATCTGCTACCATCATGCTGGGAAGCTCTTTTTACCCATACCTTCAGCCAAGCTGAGGAAGTAATTAGAAAGGCTTTTTTAAAATTTGCATTGCTGATTAGGTCAGATGATTAGCTTATCTACATACTTGCATAATTCTACTCTATTTTTATTAAATGTGGAATAAGGACATCTACCCTAGTTAACCTCCATTAGTCTTTCTGCATCTAAGCCCATTTAGAAAGGGCTAAGTGTATGATATTTATTTAGGGATAATATAAAGGTTACCTGTGCAACTTCTCCCCTCCACACACGAAGAAGCTGGTTCCCCAGCACAGGAGATGATCTATAAACACCTGAAAATAATTTACCCTTGAGATTTGATTTCTTTGAAATGAAAAAGGGGTCAGAGAGTTTTGGGAAACCCAGGAATTGGAGGCATTCTGGAATTCTGCATGACTTTCATTCCAGGGGACAAAATCCCAGAAAGACAACTTCAAAATCCCCAAGCCTGAAGCTGAACCTACTAACTTTCAAATACCCATCTATGATAGACTGTTACACTAAAGATTCTCCCAACGTATCCCGTTTGCCCAGTACCCATCCTGTATGTGGCCACTTCTCCCCGTGACTGGGTTTCACTGTATGATTTAATGGAGTCAATGCTACATTAACAAATATGACACAAGTAAAGGCTGAAAAGCACTTGCACATTGGCTTTCCCCTCTCTCTTGATGCTTTCAGAAGCCAGTCACTATGTGAGGAAGCCTGGAAGAGTCTGAGGGCGATATGTTGTTGAGTTGGAAGCCAGGTCTTGAGACCAACTAGTCACACTCCAGCCTGAGATGTGTAAGGGACCCCAGGTGAGGCTAGCATGAAAGTTCCCTGCCTAAACCCATTTCAGACTCTGACCTACAGAACTATGACCAGATATAAAAGTTGCTGTCTTCTTCTACTAAATTTTGGGGGATTTCTTAGCAGTGCAAAATCAAAGTATGTGACATTCCTAGCTCCTTCCATATACTTCCTAGCAATGACGGGGACCAACTACAGCTACAATTATAGTCACGCTACCCTACTCTTGTGGATTCTTTTCCCAAGTGGTAATCTTGTCTTCAGTGATAAAATCTTAAGTGGGGTATTAACATAAAAAGGAAAATAAGAGGCACATAAACACATTTGACATTATAGAGTTTTAAATTAAAAATATTCAAAATACATTTACAGCTGTTCTCATGTTACAGATATCTTCTTCACCCCTTCACTCCTGCTCAGGCAAAGCTCTTCTCCCAGGGGCCATCAAGTGGACATGACCGCTCAGGAGAGTGGAGCTCCTTCGGGTGGGTCCTCCCAGGCATGTGGTCACCCAAAGCCATATGTCGTGCATTTGGTTCTTTTCATCCCACACAGCAGATTTAAACTTTACAGTCATACATTGGTACTTGACTGCTTTGAAGTTCATCCAATTTGGCACTTGGCATATTTTAACATGAAAATTTTATCCTTGTGCTCATCTGTTTTTTTCAACACACACACTGGAACATATCAACGTCGACTGCCTTGTAACTTGTTGCCCTTCAGGCAGGACAATTTGTTTGCTACTCATTGCACCTCACAGACCCAATTAACGATGAGTATCTCTCCACACAATGGTGGACTGATGCAGTCCTGTGGAACCAATGTGCATTTCGTCATCCCTTCACCCCGCCCCAACCTGGGTGCTGTTTATAGTGTGATCACTCTTCTAACTTTGGTAGAAATCATTTGCTCACTTAGCTATTCACAGAGGAAAGGAAGTTTTTCCCTAAGTCATTGGTTAAATAAATGCTATACAACAATCTATGCACATTCATTAAAACTTAACAGACTAATACGAATGCGGGTGAGGAGTGTGACTCGGGGGGAGTGTGTTTACCTGCCATGCAAAGGGCACAGAATCCAATCCCAATACCTCAAAAGGAAAGGAAGACAAAGAAAAACAAAACAAAACAAATCCCTCATGGAGGTAGTAGATGATTCTCCCTTC